TTGTCTTCCGGCAGGTTGCTCTTGTTTGACACATATTACTGAATGCCATCACATCTCCTTCTCTTTCTTCCGAGCACAATGGGATGGTATAGTGACAGCAAGGAGAGACTCTGCAGGCCAGTGCCCCGGGCCAGAGAAGCAGGAGCCGAGAGGGACCCCACCTGAGAGCTTAGAGCAGAAGGACAAGTCAAGCTAATTCCGTAGCAAGAGATTTTTTTGTGTATGATTATTTGGTCACACATGAACAGTAGAAAATCTTTCAAACTCCCAAATACAACATCAGGTGTACCCATCCTTCAGCATCACTTAGAAATGATGGATTCATCTACATCCAATCTGAATAGAACACAAGTAAGAAGCCTGCAGAGCAAGAAACGGAGCCTGCACGTGCTGGCTCTGTAATTAAGCACGAAACAGCCTTTACCAAGTCACTTAACTTCTCTGGGGTTTTCACGTTTGTGCTTTGGCAGGTGTTATCTCTTCTGTTTGGAATTCCCTGACCTCTATGACAGGCAAACTTTTACTCAGCAGCCACACTCCGTTCAGTATCATTTTCTCTTTGAAATGTACCCCTGACTTCCCCCCACCCACGCCAGAGCTGCAGTAGGTGCGACTTCCTCCTCCGTGCTCCTGCAGGACTGTGCCACGTGACTGTCTCCTACTCTGTTGACTTCTCCTGCCCCTTGTTTTGCAGACTGAGCTCCCAAGAGACTAAGATAGGATTTCCTCTTGTGTTGAGACTTTAGTGCCTGGCACGTGGTTTGACATGCAGGACATACTCACTTGATACGTTTGCTAAACTTAATTTATTTATGTCATTATATTTCTTTATATGTCCAAAGAAGCAGCTAGGGAAGCTTGGTAGTTTTAAAAGAGAAAGAGTAAAAATGTAAGCAAAGGACCAATATATTACAGATAAAGAGAAGAAAGTGTTTTATTTGAAGAACGGGATTCAGACACCTGTCCACCAGCCAGTCTGTCTTAGCACCTAGTAGTAGGAGGTGGAGCCACACCTTAAAAAGACTATTGCTCTGAAATAGGACAGCTAACTTCCTCTGTAGCTCCAAAACTGTCACTCTGTGAAATTTACTCTTTCAAACAGTACCATTTTTAAAATTTGAACATTTTTGATGGAACTTTTCCTAAACTGTAAAAATATTGACTGAATTCCCTAAAAAACACAATATACTCCCAGAAGTCACATACCCAACTCTTTCCTTAATGACGCAGGTCTTCATTAGGAACCCTGCATTGACTCTTTCCCTGAGCTAAATTCACAGAGGCACAGTTATGACATGTTTATTTTTCTGTATCTTTCTTGTCTGTCAGCCATCATTTCTCCTGCTGTCATTTTTCACTGACCTAATAGATCCCTTAGCTAATCTCTTCTCAAAACCACTGTACCCCAAATTCTCTTCTAATACACTGTGAACGAAAAAAATAGAAAATAACATTTGTTTTGTGGTATACATTCATGAAAGAACAAGTGAGATTTGAGAAAGACAGCAGCTTTTGTCTTATTACTTGGTGAAGGTCATGAGAGTTATTTGAGATATTTAGGTGGTTGGAATAATTTTCTGGTATCTAGTTCCTGGGTTTGGAAGTTACCAAAGTGACGCTTCTATATAAATGAGGTAAATATTTGTATAATCTGGGAATGTACCTTAAGTGAGTTAAACACATTCAAGTGAACTCATAAAATATTTGTCTATGAGCCCCTAATGTATGATTATCTATAAATTATATAGAAGTACTCTTACTCTAGTGTGCCAGATACCTTATATTACATACTCAAAAATATAAACTAAAACTGATAACGTGAAAACATACATAAATGTTATTATAAGTATTTTCTGCTCATAATCTCTGGGAATTTACACACTATTTCACATCCTATTTGTAAGCTTCTGCTTTAGACATCTATGTCAGGATATTAACTTTGCATTTACCTAGGCAAATAAACTTCTGTAAAGTGGAAACTAATTTAGCTACTTTTTCAAGACATTAAATCAGATTGGTTTATCTCCAGCGCTAAATATGTAGCCTAACATATAGTATGTGTGCAATAAATGATAAAAATGGTAATGAATGAATGCTGAAGATTAATCCATAAGGATGCTTCATGAACTTTTAATTATTTTTGCATATATGTCAAATCTCTTACATAGAGTCTTCACATGTTATTCCACCATCATTTGTATTCTTTCACTAATCAGGAGTGGCTGTACACATGCTGAGATGTGAGGGCTTTGATTTGGAGCTCGGGCATTTAGCTTTCCTGGAAAGCTGGTGCCCATGGCAGGTATCTACCCACCTAAATTACTGTAGCAGGAGCCAGGGAGAAATGTGCGTTAATGCAATCCATTCAGTAATATCTGGGCTAGCAGGTGAAGCACTGGTGATGGTGGCACCTGCAAAATGATGACTCTTCTACCCAGGCAGATAATAGTATTATGATAGTAGGAAGGGTGTGAAGAAAGGGAGAAACCAATAGAGAAACATTTGGGTTGACTTTCAGTGAATAGCTGTGTCTTAGGCTCTCTATTTTTACTGTACATACCCCCTTTGGGAACTCTGATAACCTCCAAGCCAGTATAGTACCATCAATAAGCCTGTACTCCTGACACATACCTAGTGGCCTACTGGGCAGTTCCACTAGATGTCTTGCAGGCACTACTTTATACCATTATTTATATGATGAACTCAAGAGCTTTCTCCCAAACTTGCCTGTCCTGAAGGTTTCCATCCTGGTAGGTGATGCTATCAGGACCCATCAGATGCAGACAGCCCAAAGTGCCCTTGATTCTTCTAGCCCTATAATCTTTCACCCATGACTATTTGCCTGCAGTCTCAGGGCCGGAACCTTTCCTGGTCCCATTGAACTTCCAAGCTCCATCTCAGCACATTCAAATCATTTTACACATTATAGCTGAGCAACTTCTATAAGCATCATTTGGCTAATATATACAGCCTGCTATGCCCTGAATGTTTGGGTTCTCCCAAACTCGTAATGTTGAATACTAATCCTCAAGGTGATGGAATTAGAAAGCGGGGCTTTGGAAAGTAATTAAATCTCCCAAGGCAGAAAACAGAAAAAAACAAGCTCTCTTGTGTCTTTTTATAAGGGCACAAAGCTCATGATTTAATTACCTCTCAAAGGCCTTGCCTCATAATATCAACATATGGGGTTTAGGATTTCAGCTAATGAATTTTAGAGGCCATGACACTGAGTGAAAAAGTGAGACGCTGTCACTGTAGGGCTCATCAGGATCCAAGCTTGGTCAGTTAGACTCAAGGTCCCCTAGAAGACCTGAGTTTGCCTACAGAGGCAGGATAACCTTGAAGTCAGGCAAGCCAGAGCTAGCGGTGTAATCTTAGTATTTCACTTCCAGAGTTAAGGTAAGATTTCATTGATACAGTTGGCACAAAGCACATAGTATGATCACCTGCTATTTTAATGTACCCTTGTGGTAAGTTATATAGCCATGCCCCATCCACTCATGGGGTATAATCAGTGATTCAACCAGAACAAAAAAGTGAGTCCTGTGTAAATCTTCTTTGATTTTTATTTACATTACTATGACTCCTTTCATGTCCTAGAGTCAACGAGTTAAACGTATTTATGCTTCCTACAACTGAATTCTGCAGTTTGTTAGCTAGGTATATTATTAAAGCACTGTTTACCTGCAAATTTCTTTACACTAGTTATTTTTGGCTCATCAGATTGAGCTACACTCAAACTGTCTCATTTATAAACGAAGAGTTGATCAGCTTTTAACTTCTAATCACAAGTTATCTCTTCACAAATGGCACTGGTCCAGTGAGGCACGCAGCTTCAGAGAGGACCAGACTGGAACACAAGCAGCCCAGTATCTTCCAAGGGTCAGCTGACTGCCCTAGATTCCTCCAGTGGACTCAGGCAAGCATAACTAGTTCTACCTGATCAGGGATCCTGTTTGACCAACTTAAAGAATTTAACAATAAAAAAAAAACAGATTAAGAGATTTAACGCATAGCTGGGCCAAGTTTTTGAAGCACAGAGAAGTTAAATAGTAGTACTTGTTTGTTTCTCCTTGTCCACTTTAAAAGGTTTTTAGCTTCCTGGGGGGCGTTACCAGAGCTTCCTTAATTACCTCGCGGGAAAGCATCAGAACAAGGAGTTGGGGTGACTTTCGGGCAAGTTGTGGGGTGGTCTGAGCAGCTCTGGGTGCGCTCACAGCCCGGGCTGGGAGGCTTTGTCAGCCTCCTCCGACTTTGGCCTCCTGACCCAGACAGCTCTAGGCGCGAGGGAGCGCGCAGCCAAACCCAGGTCCCGCCGCCCCAGCCTTGGGCCAGCAGCCAAGTGTTCGAGCCTCCCCGATCCGGATGTGATGAAAAGGAGCCACCGAGGGAGAATCGTCAGAGGAGTGTAGCAGTGGTGGAAGCCAGCGGGAAAGAGAGTTAGAGGGGTCAAAAGTCCTCCTGGAAGGGAGCTGGCCAAGTAAGCTGGCTGGAAAGCGGGGGCGGAGTGCGCGCAATCAGAGCCGCCGCCGCCGCAGCCTGGGCTGAGCCGCAGGGAGGCGGGAGGGACGCGCAGGGGCGGCCCAGGCGTCGCCAGGCCACCGGGGCGACGCGGGAGCCGCGCTGAGGGCGCGGGCGGCGGCGGAGCGGGAGCGACCGGGGAGCATGCGGAGGTAGGTGGCGGCCTGGGGCCGACCGGCGGGGCGCTGCGCCCCCTCCCGAGGGCACCTCCTCTTCCGCGCCCCACCGCACCTGGGTCCCCTCTCGACCTCGGGGCACCGCCACTGTCACTCGCGCTCCAAAGATTTTCCTCGCTGGTTTCAAATCAAAACTTCCCCGGGGTGGAGTTTGGGGACGGGAAGCGGGGGCGGGGAGACTGTCCCGCAGGGTTGGTGTGCTTCTCTCTAAAAACATTTCTTTCTTTCTTCTTTCTTTCTGCCCTTTTTCCCCCGCCAGCAGCAGTGAGAGCCCCGCGCCCAGCACCTAAGCGCCCTGCTCCGTGCGCCCGGGCGCAGCTGCGGCGGCGGCGCGGCCCATGTCCGGCGCGGGCGAAGTCCCGGCTCCCGGGCCCGCGGGGCCACAGCGCGCGGCCGAGGCGGCGGGCGGCGGCCGGCGGGGCTCCCCGGCCCACGGTGAGTGCGAGCTCGCCCGGGACGAGCGCCTCCGTCGCGGCGGCGTTTTACATCGTGTCCCCCGGGACCGCCGGGAGGTGGGGGCGGGGAGGCCAGAGCCCGCGCGCGGGTCCCGACGCGAGTTGGGAACTTCTGCACAGTTCCCGCTCCCTGGGCAAGTTTGCTCTGGATCCCTCCCCTAGATCAGCAACCGGGTAGGAGGGCAGGATGGGCCGGACCCCCCAGTCCCCCTTCTGGTTGTGGAGAAACAAGATGACAGGAAGACTTCTTCTTTTAGCACATGCGTTTCTGGGCCTCAGACTTAGATGTGTGGGTTCTGAGCACGTCTCTAGGTCTCTACAGTGCTTGCGTCCTCTTCAGATCCTGCCCTGCTGCCCTGCTCTGAACAAGCACGCGCGCTCCTTTTCATCTGTGTCTTGGGGAGGCTCAGGAACCGGGCTGATAGTCGGGCTTTCTGTGACGAATTGCTTAGGAATGGCTCGTGCATATGTTTTCAATAACTGTTTTGTTTTGAAATAAACATATTTTTCAAGAAATGCTTTCCAAGAATGAATTAACTCCTCTGTGTTCTTCCAAAGGGAAGAATTTTTCCTGTTTCTGAAAAACTTCCATAACAAGCTTTTGACAAAGTTAGTATCTTTTGAAGGTAATATACGTTGAATTACATTGGTGACAGGAGGGTCATACACTTCTCTTACATAGTCCTCTAAGGATGCTTCTGTTCTAAAGAGTTCTGACACTGATGTGCATTAAATGGATTTCCAGGCCTCAAATATACTACCAGATACACTTGATTTTAAGCATATCTGATGGCTCTTTCCTCCCCCATAATAATGTAATGAATTGCTTGGGATTTTTTTAAGGCAAGAAGTGAAAAAAGATGAAATTAATGTTCAAGCCCCAGTAGATAAAAGCAGAAAGCATCCATGGTTAAATTAAAATGTTCTGGCATCCAGGGCTGTTAAATTGAATTACGTTTATCATTTTCTTTGAAAGAGTGACTCATTTTTTTTTAAACAGAGAAAATAAAAATGATTAGCTGCAGAAAAGCAAAGAATGAGAATGATAAACATATGTTTTCCCAGAAGCAGCCCATGTTCTACACGTTACACTGTCAACACAATCATTTTCCTGTCATTAAGCATGCCCTCAGTAGTTAAGATAGACTCATTGATGGACTGTTTGTGTTCCCACTTGTGCTGTTAATCACCATTGTTAAATATTGCCTATGTCTCAAATTAACACCAGACACCTAAGGAAAACCATTTGATTTGAAATAGTTAATATGTACAATATCCAACTTAAATAATTTGTTTAAAATCAGTTGTGAGAACTTGCAGTGGTACTTAATGCACCTGTGCCACTCGCTCAGCCTTCTGGCCTCACGTGATCTGACTCTAAGAAGCAAAGCTTCCTTCCACAAGGGCCCGAGGAAGATGCCTTCTGCTCATCTCACGGCTCTCCTGGGTGTGGAAATTTCAGTTGTGTTGTATCTGGAAATTAGCTGCAGCAATAGAGTCAGGCAGTCACACATTGCTTTTTCTCAGTTTAACTGTGACTAAAAACTTTCTTTGAACAGAGATCAGTTAAATTATGTGTAATACACGATTGTTGTTTTAAAAAGAAAATCTTCATATCTTATTAAGATATTGCCTCAAGCAGGGAGAGTCTGTAAGATGTAATTAAAGGAAAAAATTGGGGTGAGTAGGAAGAAACTTCAAGGTGTAGTTTCTCAAGAACAGCTTGGTTGGTAAATAGATTTGTGAAGAACTTTTCTTGAAAGCTGTTTTACTTTTATCCTCTCCCCTTTTAGTCCTCTAACCTCTGTCTTTGGATTTTTTTAATCATCTTTTCTGAAGAACAGTTTAATAATGTTCTTGAAGGAAGTCACTACTTAGTTAAGTGAAATGTAATTTTAAAATTCTATACACTGAAATCAGTAAGAGAAAAACAATGTTTTAACAAAGGTAAAAGAAAATAGAAGGTTATGAAGAAGTTCCTTTCTATAAAATCAGATATATGCATGCAGAGTGAATACATAAAGGTACATACATATATTAATGTGTTACAGTGTGCTGTCCATACTTTTACACAAAAGCATGAGACTTGAAAATTGGAAGTGACTGTAGGAATCCTCTAGTTTGAACTTTCCATAAAATCTAAGATTTGTTTTGTGTCATTTTAGGTGATGTTTAGAAAACTATACATTTTAGCCTTCAGAGTGAGAAGAAGGTTTTCCTTCCAGAGTGTATTAGCTGTGCTTTCTCAAAAGTTTTATACCTTGTTATCGTATTTCTGTAAGCTTTACTGTCACTTGGGAAGCATTGCAGAATATGAGAAATCTTTCCTGTGTGTACCAGAAACTTACAGAGCAAGCGCCTATGTGCTGAGCTATAAGAGGGGTTGAAGGCAGGTGTCAGACAAGAGAGAGCATGGAGATGTCAGGAAAATAAGGAACTCAAGGGACAAAGGCTGCAGTTGATCACTGTCATGTGGGTTATTTTCCGATATTTCAAGACACATTGGCAATCTGGATTTTTATGTATCTGCATTTTTAAGGGTTGGCAAATAGTTAAGGCCAAACTAAACAACCTTGTCTTCAGGCTGGAGGTGAACTCTAAGCAGCTGATTTGTTATCTCTGTTATTGAAAATAGAAAGTAAACATGTAATTTGAAACTATTTTGCAATTTATGACTAACTTCTGAAATATTTCCTTGCTTCTTGTGTGAATTACTGTTTAAATGCCTTGATTATGAAAGGAGAAATTGGGGAAAGGCAATTTTTATTTTAGGAGAGAATAAGGTTCTTTTATTTGTGGCTCTTCCAATTGTTTCTTTTAATTGAGCATTTTAAAATTTATTGTATCTTCAGGCAATATTGAAGATCTGGGTATTTGTTCTTTGAAGCAGTAGTTTCTAGAATGCGTGTAATTGAAAGCCTTTTAATTAAGTGCTTCATGTATAAGTTTGTGGCATATAACTAGCAGGATCTTTAGAAATAATCCAACCTGTTCATGTTTTAGAGGAGGGAAAGTACATCCAGTGAATTTAAGGGACTTGCCCAAAGACTTACACAGTAGCAAGAGATCAGGCAGAAGCACAAATTATACAATATATGTCATTGTGATAAATGTGGTGTAGGAGACAATCGATACAATTTGTTCATAGGCAGTAGATGCACTGAAGTTAATAGGCTTTGGATACTGGGAATCACTTGAGGTTATTTCTGTCCCAACCCCCATCCCATTGCATTTGCCAAAATGTAGACAGTTGGACTCTGAGTGCTGGAATATACTTTAATGTGATAATGTGTGATTTAATGCACTGCTCTCTCTTGGGAGAGTCCTCTGAGACTATTAGGCGGACTTTTCATAGCAGGATGCAAAATGCCAGTGAAGTTAATTAAAAATAATCTAAAATAGAAGCCAGGGAGGAGGAAGATCTTCAAGTTGAAATTACATAAGAAGAGCTTTGACTTAGAAGCTTAGCTGAGTTGTCAGGAGTTTATAGGGGCTAATCAGATTTCCTTTTGGAGAGGCTTGTTTATTTCAATTTGTATACCATGCCTGTATATAATGTGTCTGTATTTGACTTTCATCATGTCATTTTTATATCTTTTTAAGGATGGCATTGCTTAGGATGTATCATCTTTTGACAGCCTCTGTCCTTGGTTCTCAACTGGGGATGACTCCTCTCACCCATGAGACATTTGGCTCTATCTGATAATCTGTTTGGTGACCATCACAAGGGACGGGATATTGCAATAGCATCTAATGATAGAGGCCAGAGATACTGCTTAACATCCTGTAGTGCACAGGATAGAACAAGTCTGGTCCACACTGTCGAAGAGTGCTGAGGTCAGCAACACCTGCTTTTTTTCTCTCCCAGAAGCTTGTAACATTTTTTACTTCACTACAGACTTGCAGAATCACAACTTCTAGTTATAAGACTAAAAAAGTTACTCAGAGTTGAGACCAACTAATTCAGAGGCTTTTATCTGTAAAATGACATGCTAAATTAACTTGCTTTCAAGAGAACAGTTTTTAATTTTTTTTTTGAGAAGTCTTCAAAAAGCTCTAAAGCATAGCATGAGTTAGTAAGACTTTAGTGCTCTCTTTCACCATCTTGAGTATATATTCTTGTTCAAATATTCTATACTTTTCTTTGGAGACAGTTTTTATATGAGTTGTGTTCATTTGTCAACTGGACTTTTGGAAGCTAAATTATACTTTCTCATAAATACAGTAGGAAATTATATTTAGCTCTACAATAATTATTGAAAGATTGTTAGAATTAAATTTTACTGTTTTTTATTCTTATAATGATAACTCCCTGAGAACATACTATGGTGATACCTGAAGCCACATATAAATAACCAGGGAAAAATTCAAACTAAATGGAAGTTGGCTTAAACTGATTGAGGAAACACAGGCTTATTTAGCAAAATGGAGGAAGATGTGTCTGGATTTGGAGACATTTTCAAGTACTTTAAACCTCACAGTCTTCATTTCTTTATGTGTGAAGGAACTAATGTTCATTGTATAAGTTTAATTCTACAAGTACAAGACCTGTTAGCTGGGCATGTTCATTTTCCATTTGCTTAGAAAGTAATCAGATGAGTAAGGGAGGTATGTAACTAGGCAAAAGACATAGGAGAGGGTGGAGGACATTGGGGAGAAGTTTAGGAAGAAGGAAGGAAGAAATGAAGAAAGGAAGGCCAGAGGTAAGGGAAGAAGGAAAAGTTAAAGTGCATCTCTAATTCTAAGAAAGCATTTAAAGAGGTTGAACTGTTTCAGTTGAGAACTGTGCAAAAGATGAGTATGATATATTAAAGGAATAAAACAATTAGAAAGGCACAAAGAAAGTGAGATGACAGAGCTTGAAAGAGAAAGAAGCATAACTAACAGAGTGTTTAGAAAAACCTCAAGGAAAAGTTTTAATTTGGGTTATACCAGGAAACATGATCATCGGACTCATCCATGTGGAGTTGGGTGACAGAA